AAAGCTTCTTGGAATCTGCATGAACGTGGCCATCCAGCTCTACACCATCTACGTGTTCCTGTCTCTGGAGTACTTTGTCTTGAAGAACGAGGCCCAAGCCCGCGAGTTAGGCATCAACGTCTGAGGGGAAAAGCAGAACTGTTCGACCACAAAGGATTGGTCTGCAAGCAGCGAAGTAGAGAAGCTGCGCGCTCAACGATCGCCTTGGGGCATGAGAGCAGTGCTGAGTTCTTGTGATGAGTCACGGCCAGTGCAAAACAGACAGTCAGGGATGTTGATGCTCACTTTGGAAACGTAGGCGGAAGAGCTGAGTGCCTTGCCAGGTCATCCATTGTCCTCCAGTGCTTCTGTTAAAGAATGCTGCGATGCTTTTGCCCCCGGCTGTCAAAGGTCTGAGCCGTTTTTGCAAAACCTGAGTTGTATCTAGAGAAACCAGGAAGTTTGGCTCAGGGCTTTTGTGAGCATGGAAGTTCTTGGTTTCAATTGACGAATAATCTTGCATGGGCTGCTGCCTGATGTAAGATTCCCATGGCTGTGATCATGAGGGTCTCATGTTCCGCAAACAGACTAAAGCAGGTCAAGCACCAAAGGCTCAGCTGTGCCTCAACACTAGACATCCAAACGCGTTGCAGGGTGTGAGCCCTCAGATAAAGTCAGCTACAGCGCACATCACACACTGCTTGATTCAAATGTACGTGTGGTGAAGCATTTGGGCTCCCTAGTTGACCGTGTGCTTGCTCAGCTCTGTTCCCTTCAGCGCCCCCTATCATGGCTGCTGTGATCGTGACTCCCGGGGCGCCTTCCGCGCCTTTGCCGCAGCCAACGGCCGCCTTGCCGCCCTGGTCGCTGCCCGTTCCGCCCACGGACTTCTGCTGCTTCTGCCTGCCGATGCTTGGCGGGACCCTCTGTTGCGGCATTCTGGTCCTCATTGGTGCAGGGTATTATGCCGTGATGGGCTTCGTCGCCCTGGGGCTCGGGGCTCTCATTGGAGCCGTCTTTCTCATGGTCATGGCGTTCTTGGCCACGGTGCAGGGCATGGGAGCAATCCTTGGATCCAGAGGGCAAGCGCGCTGGGCACGCTACGCTGCCTTCGCCACGCTGGGGCTGATGCCGATTGCCATTTTGAACATCCTCGCAGACCGAAGAGTGGCCATGATGCCAAAGCTTCTTGGAATCTGCATGAACATGGCCATCCAGCTCTACACCATCTACGTGTTCCTGTCTCTGGAGTACTTTGTCTTGAAGAATGAGGCCCAAGCCCGCGAGTTAAACATCAACGTCTGAGGGAAAAACAGAACTGTTCGACCACAAAGGATTGGTCTGCAAGCAGCGAAGTAGAGAAGCTGCGCGCTCAACGATCGCCTTGGGGCATGAGTCACGGCCAGTGCAAAACAGACAGTCAGGGATGTTGATGCTCACTTTGGAAACGTAGGCGGAAGAGTTGAGTGCCTTGCCAGGTCATCCGTTGTCCTCCAGTGCTTCTGTTAAAGAATGCTGCGATGCTTCTCCACCCCCTAAACACTAAACCCTACACCCTAAACCCTAAACCGGCTGAAGGCATCCCGTGTGGTGGGGGCCAGTCGTCTGGTGAGGTCGGGCCTGGAAAGGTCTAGGAGTCCAGGGTTTTGGGATACCCCAGAGGGTCCAAGTACCCAATAATTAGGTCCCTTTAAAGGGAATATATAGGGATATATAGGGTTTAGGGTTTTGGGTTTAGGGTCCAAGTACCCAATGATTAGGTACTTAGGATTTGGGTAATTGTAACTATAGTACAGGATTTGGGTAAGTATATGACTATTGGGTACTTGGACCCTGAGGGTAGATCCATCTACTGGTACTGGCCTGCCGGAAAAATGGAGGTGTCAGCAGCCCCGTCTACATGGATGTGGTAGTTTCCAACAACATGGGAGGCCGAAAGCTATGGACCCCTCAAATTTTAAAGCCCTTCCTAGAGGTACCGCCCCCAAGACAGGCCCCCAGTTTACAGAAACCTCCATATCAGGGCCGGTGAGTGCCTAAAACACAACAGAGGAGTTGTTTTTTTGGGGATACCATGGTACCCATTGTAGAGCAAGATTATATCCTCCTTTTGGGGTATACTATTTCATATAAGGAATATAATCTTACTGGGTTTAACCACCAAAAAAACACTACTCAATAAGGATGCTACAGGAATGGCGTCCCCGATTCTTAAGGTGCAACCGTTCATCCCATAGACTCTAAACCCTAAACCTTGGGTACTGCCCCCACCCAGTAACAGTCTATAATAGGGGTCCTATCAAGGGCTATAT